AAAAAAAAAAAAAAAAAAAAAACGAAAAAGACTGTATGAGAAGGGGGGAAAGAGAAAAAAAAAGAAAAGAAAAGAGCATTAAAAGTTCACATACGCACAAAATAAAATAAAAATAAACAAAGTAAAAATAAATAATTAACTACCAATAAAATTAATTATTTCACAAGTTCCTCAAACATAAGATAGTAACATACATATTCTGTGGAGATAATTGCAAAAAGAACCAGAAATAACTAGAAAACAATATAGGTTTTTTTTTTATTTCTTCTTAGTATTTCAATGGATCCTCAACCGGGTGATTTAATTCCACGTCTCTAGTTAACTCTGGTACCTTAGCAAAAAGATCTACATACTCTGAGAGTGTCAAGAAGAGATCTTTTTCCAAGTAGTTTTTGAGTGAAGATGTTCGAGGGAAAAGCATAGGATGAGATACTCTAGCACTATCTAAAAATATCTTACGTTTGTTTGTTAACTCATTTGCTACCAAGTTTGACAACTTTACCAAATTATTTATGTCATCTAGAAGCAATTCAGCTATCTCTTCATCAGATTTCTCACCAACTTCGGCTTCTGGAGTTAAAGCAGGTAATTTGTCGATACATGAAAACGGCACCGCAAGTGGTGAGAGAACATCATCTGTTAAAAATAATATCCTAACATCTGAACAACTGGCATCTTCTTTTAAATCGCAGTGTTTCTTCAATAGTTTCAAAAAGCCAACAATATGTCTTTCATATCCTTCAATTATTTCAATAAAGTTATTTTCATAATCAATAATAAGACCTGATGGCTTTGTTGTAGTCTCATTTTTTAGTCTTAAAGGATTTTCACTCTCACTTACAGCCCTATCAATAAGTTCTGTCATTAATGTCCCAAGAGAACGAGCTGCATTTTCGGTTCTCTTACCTGCAATAACCACCCGCAACAAAAAAGGATCCGCTTCATCTCTATCTGTTGAATTAAATTTTTTCAACATAATGTCCAAAAGAGTTTCTGCCTCAGTAAACCCATTTGCCTTTTGAAGCTGGGGATCATTGCTTATAGTATTTGATTGCTTCTGCATTATCAGAAGGAATGAGGGATACTCACCTATTAACATAGTAAATAAGTTTACCAAGAAAAAAAAAAAAA